AGTAACCATCCGTCTGAGAGTATATAAATAAAAGCGGCGTTTTCTTTTTTTCTTTCTTGCCAGCCAAATTCATTTGTCACTTTTGTGCCACAGTAATGTCTTCAGCTGTATCAACAGGGAGAGCTACTTTGAGCGCCTTCCATCATTTCCAACCCTCCCTCTCTCTGCCCGTTGCCTCTGTTGATGTTGCTCATCATTAATTTGAGCTAGGCTAATGGCTCTCTGCTAGATAACCATCAATTTAGAGGCTTTGAAATCAATAGCTTGTAGCTAAAGCTTTGCTTGCAGAAGAACCAGCAGGGATAAGACTTTGATGCTGGCTTAGATACGAAAGTGTGTGCGGTGAGCAGATTTCCCACCCCCCAAACCTGATGGAACAAAAGACCAGAAGAGGAAGGTGTTGTGGTGAAAAGGGACTTCCACTGCTTTGCTTCCACTGAATCTTTCAACCAAAAATTTTTTCAAGTTTTTTTTTTTTAGTTTAATATACAGAGACAACTGAAAGTATGCCATTCATAGGTTGATTCTCCAAAGAAGTGTTAAAGATGACATGAAAAAGTACTGTATTTAATTTCTAAAAGGAATATTTCACCCCAAAAATGAAAATGGTGGAAATGTACTCAACCTCAAGCCATCCACAATCGGTTTGTTTCTTAATCGAAACAGATTTGGAGAAATTTAGCATTACATCACTTGCTCACCAGTGGATCCTCTGCAGTGAATGGGTGCCGTCAGAATGAGAGTTCAAACAGCTGATAAAAACAACACAATAATCCACAAGTAATCCACATGACTCCAGTCCATCAGTTAACATCTTGTGAAGAGAAAAGCTGCAATTTTGTAAGAAACAAATCCATCACTAAGGCATCCACAGGTCTACAACTTTAAGCTGTCACTTTTGGCCAAAAATACAAGTCCATAATCCATAATAACGCTTCCTCCAGTGAAAAAGTTGACAACATCCCCTGTTGACAACATCCACTGACATATTTGTTTAGAACTGTTTTCGCTTGTAAACGGTACTTGATCTGTGCATATTTCTTTCCTGATTCAGATGAGATGACTTTTTCACTAGAGAAAGCAATATTATGAATAGAGGACTCATATTTTAGCTGGAAGCAATGGATTAATGTTAATACGTCTTTATAATTTTTTCGTCTATGATAAAGCAAAATTAAAAATATGTAAAAATCTGGTTTAATTTATATATCAAATTCTTAGAAATTTCCTATTTGTATTCATGTTGGTTTCAGATGGTTTTGCAATTTTTTTTAATAATATTATAAAATATTATAATTCCAAGAAACGTTTTGTGTTAAAGTTGGCATGAAATGGAAATGAAAATGGAAATGAATCTATTTTCTAAATGTATGTTGAGCTTATGTTATTGTGAACGTTTCATCCATGTATTTTATACTTAAAAATTTTATTTTGAGCTCATACTTTTTAATCATATAAAAATTGGAAGGTATGTCACAAATATGAGAGAAAATATTTGTAGCTACTTCGTTAGATCACAACTTTTATTGACTGTAAAAATGCCATGTGGTGTAACCATCAAATAAAAAGTAAAAATATGTTTTTTAATACATGTGCATGTACACATCTTATTCATTATATCTTATTCAAATTGCAAACCTTTTTTGAGGTAAAAAGTACCATGTACACATACTATGAATTATTAAGTCATAAATTCAGTTTTTGGGGATTTGCACCACATTACATTTTACAGCCTGAACTAACCTTGCCTTGTCAGAACATGGTCAAATGATCTGATATTTTAAGAGACATATTGATCTAGAGACATAAGAGTCATAAGGGTTTGCAGGAGTCTTCTCTGTGAAATAATTTCCTATTTTATGTTTTTTTGCAAAATTACCAGAAAAAAGGAGCATCACGTCATTAACACTAATGCTATCCAATAGCCAAATAGCAATTCAGTTTGCCTTCATTCTGTAATGCCCACTTTTCACCATTCACTTTTTCCCTGCCATATGTTTTTTTGAACTGAATATCCTGTTTTACTCTTACACAGTTCATCAATTTTCATCCAAAATTTAATCTGAGCTTTGTTTTCATGGGCAGTTTATTATATGGAAACCACATTGTATTCTATTGCAAAACAATAAAAATAAGCTCAAGTTATAATGGGTGGTGGAATGCGATTGCAATATTTATTTGCAACTGTAACTGCTTTAACTTTGTCGTAATGCTGAGTAATTGGCCATTGTAGAGATGGAGGGTGAGATAACACTGTGACACTTCAGGCTCTGGGGAACTTTGATAAAATAAACAACCCTCTTTCCTCTTCAATGGTGGATGACCCAGGAGAGAGAGAACGACAGAGGAAGAGAGGGAGGGATGGTGGTGCGGCGGTATGCATGGGTGGAAAACAGGATGGGTAAAGAGAATGAAAAGACTGTGGAGAAGAAAGAATACAGAGCTAAAGAAAAACAAACCCTGACATCATGGAGTAACTTGGAAACTGAATGTAGGTCAAACCCAACCTGGTTTTAATGTTACTGTATTACACATAAGACACTTTTCCAGGCAGATAATCAGATCAGATGGCTAAGGCATAAATATATATTTAACAGAAATCTGATCAAAACACCAAACAGTGTGCTTTCATCACCCAAAATCTGTCACCATTTACTTACCCTCAGTTTGTTCCAACCTGTAGAGATTCTTTCTTCTGCTCAACACAAAAGAAGATGTTTTGAAAAATGTTGGTAACCAAACAGTTTCTGCTCCCTGTTGACTTTCATAGTATTTTTTAAATAAGAAACACATACAGGTTTGGGACAACTTGAAGGTGAGTAAATTATGACAGAATTTTCATTTTTGACTGAACTATCCCTTTAATTTCTCTCGTTTGGCCTTTCCATCAAGGCGAAAGAGCACTGGTACATCCAGCATTTGAGGCAATGTGAAAAACGACTGACTCATGCTTATGAATGTCAGTTCAGAGATTGTTTTATTTATTTTTTGCTCTCTGAAGGTTACCCTGACACATCCATTGGAAATGTCAACATGCAAATCCACATATGAGATTAGCACCACGAGGCAAAGATATGAGGTGGCTGTGTGTCAGAGACTCATCCTGTGAGATCACCGCCATATTGTTTTAATTTAGAAAAGCAGGAACACATGTAATGATGCTTACAGTAAAAACCTCCGATTACACAAGGGCTTAAATAAAGGAGCTGCCCACACAAACAATATGCCCCTAGTGGGTCAACATAATTTATACAGAGGTATGGAAATGAAACTCTGTTGACATATAAGACTCCTCGGGAAGATTGTGTGTGAAAGGTTGATAAATTCTGTCACGGATGTGGTTGTCTGTGCCTAATGGCTGTGGGTGGCTGAGCTGCAGAGAAAAGGATTCAGATCATTAGCGAAACCACAGGTCATTTACTGAGCCAACAGTGTGATCTCTATGACACTATTCTTCAATGTTAAAACACCGTATCCACAGCTTGTGTCTCCACGGGGTTCAAATAGCCCAGATGGGGTGGGCCTGGAGAGACGCAGCTCAGGGGGTACAACACATTAGTATCTGCTAGAGCCATTTGTCAAATTGTGCATGTGTTTTCTGGAAATGCAATGATATTTCAGCTGGATGACAGAAACTTTGATATTTAGTTTGTCCATTTTAATCTATTTTAGATCATTATGTAGACAACTTTTGTGGTTTAAATAATTTAAGTCACAAATTCATGGATCTGGTAATGTCAAACAGTTTTGATTCCCATTGACTTCCATTGTAGTTTTTGTGAAAATGAATGGGAACCGAAATTGTTTGGTTACCAACATGGTTCCACATAAGAAAGGAAGTTCTATAGGGCTGTATCGACATAAGGGTGAGTAAATAATAAATAAATTAATAAAATAAATAAAATAAATAGTGACAGAATTTTTATTTGTGACCCTGGACCATAAAACCAAAAGACTTAATTTGCACGGGTATATTTGTAGCAATAGCCAAAAATACATTGTATGGGTCAAAATTATCGTATATAAAATTATTATATATTTTTCTTAAGTAAAGATCATGTTCCATGAAGATATTTTGCAAATTTCCTACCGTAAATATATGAAAACTTTTGATTAGTAATATGCATTGCTAAGGACTTCATTTGGACAACTTTAAAGGCGATTTTCTCAATATTGTGATTTTTTTTGCACCCTCAGATTCCATAATTTCAAATAGCTGTATCTCAGCCAAATATTGTCCTATCCTAACAAACCATACATCAATGGAAAGCTTATTTATTCAGCTTTAAGATGATGTATAAATCTCAATTTAAAAAAATTGACACTTAAGACTGGTTTTGTGGTCCAGGTCACATTTTTGGCTGAACTCTTCCTGCAAAACCTTCTCATATTATTTTGTGTTCTTTAGATTTTAGACATTAAATTATTGACATTGTTTCCTAACAAAATGTAATAATAATAATAATAATAATAATAATAAATAAAATAATAAATAAAAACAAATGTATAAAATAAATTAAAAATAAAATGAATCATCCCACATGGATGTTTGAGCATTTGATTCTTCCTTTGAGATGTTTCTTTTAGTATTTGATTTGTCATTTGAGTATTGAATTATAGTTTTAATTATGACAGGGTCGTACTGGATTGATAATGACAATGAAATGTCAAACAAAAATTACATTTAATTTTTGTTACAGTTTAAGTTTTTGATTTAACATTTAAGTGGCCGTTTTGAACATTTATATTTTAAATTTTGTTAGAAAAAAAAATCCATGTTGTTTAAACTCACAATCGCAGCTTGCTACTTGTACCCCCACACACTTCAGTAATCACTTACTTAGTATATCTTTTGCATATTTGTACTTATTTGGTATATCTTCGTATTCTATTCATATCTTGTAACGAGTGGTGTGATTTGTAATGATTTACATAGCAGTGGGACCTATTATCAAAAGGAGCGCACTGGCCCTTTAAGGGCTGAGAAACTGCACTTGACGTCCAGCGGACTCTTGCTTTGCCAGCAGCAGCAGTCAGTCACACGGACTCGAGTCACATCTCTGAGCCGTGGAGATTCTCGTTCAGTCGCTTTGTGTATTTACAGCCACGGCTGCGAAAAACGACTAGACAGAATGGTCACGAACTGCTCTTCTCGAATCACAGCCTTTTGTTGATAAGAGGGCGGAAACGCGAGACAGACAGAATAGAAAGAAAAACAGACGAGGAGCGCGAGAAGGCCGAACCCATCGAGGGAGCGCGAGAGCAGCCTAACGTTAGTTTCTCACGCGACAGGCGCTCAAGTGGATTTGCGGCTCAAACCGACGAGGACGAAAACACGCCCGTAGCAAACCGTACATGTGGATTATTCGCGGAAATTTCTTAATTTCTTTCTCCTCAGAAACTACATAAACGTCCGGTAACGATAGACCTTCACCTTCCACAGAGAGGTAAGTTACTACAAGACGTTTTGCCAACGAGTCTGTCAGTCGTTTATCGGTTTGAATGGTGCCGAGACTTCTCAGAGCCGTTGTCGAAGTCACGGGGCTTTTCTGTGGCTAACGGCCATTATTCCCTCACTGAACCCCTGCTACACTGAATGAGCCTCTCCGAGCAAGGAGGAAATCAACCACTCCGTGAAGACTGGCCGGCTAGTTAGCATAGCTAGCGGTGTTTGTGATTTAACGTTAGACGGAATGCTGTTAAATTACGTCCGACACGTTACGTTATGTATTCAATCAGTTTCGAGCATTATAAACGATGTTTTGCAAAGCACACCGCCTGCCGTTGAGCGTTTTTGAGGGGTCGGCTGTTGAGCTAGCCGAGTTAGCTCGGTTTACGTGTTGTTGTATTGAATGCTTGGCTAGTTCTGTAGTAACGCTGCCTGGTGCAAGCTGAGGATGAGGTTTATAGTTTCAGTCTGTTTTGGATATGTTTCGTTGGTGTTAATCAGATTAGATCTGTGCTATTAAGAATTTCTTGGTCAACATCTTATTATTGAACGTGTCCAGAGGAGGGAATCTTTGCTCGTGCTTTACTTGTGTGTTGTTTATACACACTAAAAATAGAAATAATTTATTTATGCATGTATGTCTGTATATACATACATCATAAAAATATATATATAATTTATATTTATATTTATAGATTTCATTTATATGTATATATACCATTTGCCTCTTGGCCACAGTTTTTAAATATTTTTTTTATCAGAAATTGGGACCACTCACTCACTGTCCCTCCCCCCAGCCTCGCAAATGTGTATGCCCCCAGTATATAGATAACATTTAAGGGTTAAAGACCAATAGTGCATGGGAATAGCTTTCAGACTTCAACAGTATGTGGCTTGTTAGCCCATATTTAGAGCTAGAGCTCATGCAGTGTTGTACTGAAACACAATTGTTCATGAAACACTTAACAAATCTCTACACTGCTTCACCGTTCTATTGTTTTCATATGAATCAGAGACTCTGGATTCCTTCATTGTACTGTAAATATCACTAGGAAAGTGTTGAGAAGTCTTACATAAACATGACGGGTAACGTCGTTTGTGGACCTCCCGCCTCCTTCACAAAGCTCTAACACCTTCATATCCTGCTGATGTTGAGGCTGAAGCTACACTCGTTCACTTTCCATCTCGGATGTTATTAAGGGTCAATAAATCACAGTGGATACCAAATGCTTGTCAACAGTTGTTGATTTGCACATGAAAGGCAGTGGAATGTGAAAAATGGGGGGCACACAGCTTAAGTGTATTATTGTAATTGGACATGGGCCAGCAGAGGGACTTTTTTTTTCTTGTGCAGCATTCTTTCCCACTGTACATTAGAAGAGAACAAAGCACAGTGTCATAAGTGGACCAGCGAGATGCCTGAACCCAAAACAGAACTGGCCTCAGACAACCTCTTTGCTCCGCAGGGCTGCCAGGACTCATAGCCAGAAAACAACAGATTTGTTTTGGACTCACATCAACTCCAGTTCCACCCCTCTGCGCTGCGTATTGAGTAATGATATTCTTTCTTCCTCTTCTCACTGCTCCATGCAGATTGTTGATAAGCATTGAAAAGAAATGCGTTTGCCTTTTAAGCATTGTTTGGTGAAGTGTGGAGCTAGTTTACCACTTTATCTCTGTCTGTTTTCAAAATGCTTTGCACAGACTAATACATGGTGCACAGCAGTTTTGCAGCTGCAAGCTTTATTACAGCCAGCCTTTTCGTTAATTCATGTCAGATGCCTTGTTTCTACTTATATGAACTGCAGAACATGCTTGAGTACTATTCAGAGACAAGATAAGGAGTTGATGGCTTACAAAGAGTTTGTCCTTGACCATTCTTAATTTTGATAAATGAATAGCTAGAGTGGAACATCGAAGGAAATTAACTGTATGCAAAATGCTTTCTGTGTAAGCAGGCTTCTTGGCTTGTCATCATGCCGTCTTTGTATTGACTATGGTGGACTTCTTTGCTGAGTTGGCTGTGTTTCATTGGTTGGGTTTTGCCCCTGCTGCAGTGCTGTCTATATATAAGGCTCCAGAGGAACTGCTCCTCCTGCAATCACTGTGTATTGAAAAATGTTGTTCTTTCATAATGGACGAGTGCTTTGTTTTGTGCTATTATAGGTTTTAATCTACATCAGCCTTATGTAGACAGTATTTATATATTTTTCATATTTATATATTACACCCTATCGTTCAAATTTGAGGTTGGTAAGATTTTAAAAATGTTTTTGAAAGAAGTTCCTTATGCTCATCAAGGCTGCATTTATTTGATCAAAAATATAGTAAAAACGGTAATATTGTGAAATATTATTACAATTTAAAACAACTCTTTTCTATTTGAGTATATTTTAAAATGTAATTTATTCCTGTAATGGTAAAAGTGAATTCTCAGCAGATATTACGCCAGTCTTCAAGGTATGGTACTTTTTTCCAGGAGTCTTTGAGGAATCGAAAGTTCAAAAGCATTTTATATATATATATATATATATATTTCCATTTAGAATTTTGACATACATTAAGAGGAATTTGTTATGCTATTTAGATATAGCTAGAAGTAAAAAAAATCTGCTTGTTATGGTTTAAAGGGATCCTATTATGCTCTTTTACAATGTCTTGAATTTGTTTTGGGGGTGTTCTAGAACATGCTCTCATGCTTGGTGGTTCGAAAAACGCATTATTTTTTACATAATTTACATTATTAAAATACCTTTCTCCCCATCCTGGCACAAACGGCTCGATTAGTTCTGGGT